TCAATTGTTAGCAAGGCAAAAATAATCCCCCAAAATATCAGGATCTGCTTCTGTAGCCCCAACTCGTGCTCGACTTCCGTATTTGGCCTTGCCAAAGTTCAGCGGCAAATATTCAGAGTTCAAAAATTTCATCAGCCTTTTTGAAACTCTCGTTCATCAAGACGACAGAATTCCAGTTATCGAGAAATTTAATCATCTAATTTCGTGTCTCTCCGGTGAAGCCTTAGGGACCATTAAGGCTTATCAAGTCCCCGCGATGAGAAGGCTATGGCCAGCCTTAAAAAAGGCTACGATAACGAATGCTTAATTTTTATGAATAATATCTCAGCATTGTTCACTCTTCCAAAAATGACGCACCAATCAGCGTCGTCCTTAAAAAATCCTTATCGATACCGTTTCATCAATTTATGGATCGTTGTTATCGATAGGAGATGATACAAAAATATCCACTGCAATGTTGATTTATCTCGTCTGGAATATAGTAGACCCAGTGACTAAACAAAAATTGGAAGAACAGCTCGATTATGAAACTTTGCCGCTTTGGTCCGATTGTGAGAATATGTTGAATCACCGATATCAGCATTTATCTGCTGAGGAAACATCAAAACCAAAGCAAGGTAAAATAATTCCGAGCAAACATAATTGAAGCTCGTTTTCGTGTTCTTCGACCAACACTAAGTTCGTGCAAAGTTGTAGCTATTGCAATGCTGGAGACGATGTCCTAGCGAACTGCAGTCCGTTTGGTTGGCTGTCAGTAATGCAAAGGTTGGATTTTGTTAAATCTGTTTCTTTGTGCATTAATTATCTGCAAAAGGGTCACACGGTTTCCAAATGCAAGGGTAGTAAATGTCGAATTTGTGGTCGCTCGCATCACGACCATCACTCCACATCACTCCGAAAATAGTTTAGCGTTGCCACCACCCCAAGAGAGTCTGTCTCCCTCTAAAAGTCAGGATCAGCCTTCCACGTCACATGCAATGCATGCGACATCATTGGACAGAGTGATTTTGGCCACGTCGGGCGTAAGTGTCCGCACAGAAAGCGGTGAATACATTTTGGCTCGAGCCCTTCTTGACTCTGGGTCTCAAGTCAATTTCGTTACAGAAGACCTTGCTCGCCGCTTACAGATCCGTAAAAAGGAATCGTGTATCAACTTACTTGGTATTGGCGAATCCAATTCTCAAGTTAAGAAAAAGGTACACACAGTGGTGAAGTCGCGAATAAATGGTAGTGAATTTTCGTTCGATTTTTGGATTTTGAAATCGATATCCGGATATCATCCGGACCAGTCCGTGAATATTAGTGACTGGAAAATTCCAAAGAACATACCATTAGCAGACCCCTATTTCTACAAGCCATAAAGAATAGATATGTTGATAGGAGCAGAATCATTTTTCGAGCTTTTAGCTGTTGGTCAAATTAAGCAAGGTCCTGACTATCCAACTCTTCAAAAGACCCTACTTGTATGGGTTGTTTCAGGCAGATACAAGGCGTCTGCCCTAAGAGATGTTGTGAATAGTTTCAGTTGTAGTGAAGAGCTATTAGTATCGATTGATAGCACGCTACAAAAGTTTTGATCACTGGAAGAAATGCCATCCGTAAAGAAAATTCTATCATCTGAGCATAAGTTGTGTGAAGAACACTATAGAAAGACCACTCAGGTTTTGCAATCAGGTCGGTTGCCGTTTAATTCTGATCCCACTGGATTGGGCAACTCATTCGAGGTTGCAAAAAGGAGGTTTCTGTCGCTCGAAAGAAGGTTGTCGCGAGATCCTGAATTAAAGAAAATGTATCTCGAATTCATGGAAGAATACCTCGCGTTAGGTCATATGTCTCCTACAGACAACAAAGTTCCTTTGACTCCACATTATGTTGTGAGGAGTTGGATAACTCCCCACAAATAGTCATGGGCTGGATCAAAGGATAGCGTGGCCGCGGTGGACCTTGGACCCAGTCACGCGATCCAGCCAAAGGAGCAACGGGATCGCGGTGGACCTTGGACCCGGTCAGGCGATTCGACCGAAGAAGTAACGGGATCGCCGCTGGACCTTGGACCCGGAGGAAAAGGAGACGCCGAGGATTAACGGGACCAGGGGGTCCTATATAAGCGGGGCCCGCAGTTCAGCCGGGATCAGTCAAATAGAAGCGAAACACAAGTGTACATCAGGCAGCGAGAAGTCAAGCAAGGATACAAGCAAGAGGAGTCAAGCAAGGATACAAGCAAGGATTCAAGCGAGGATGAACACGAAGGACAAGAGGAGAAAGCATCAACGGCGCGAACGAAGGACGCAAGGATTCCAAGCAAGCAGTCTACAGGGAGCAAGATCGCTACGTCGAGACGTTCGGGACTTAAAGTTGCAAGTCTCCGAATTGAGACACAGGTAGCTGAGGTCCTGTGGGCAGCACACGAATCGAACTAGGGGCCTGTGACGACCCCTGGTTAGTGACATTGAGCCTGGCGTATTGCCCGGCGGGTCCTGACCAAGTCTACACATACGAGTCCTTAATCGAGTAAACGTGTCCTCGGTGGGGAAGAGTCAAGAACCAGACGCATACTGTAGAGTCCACCAGACCGTGATCCGGCGTGCGCTTGGTCCGTCTCGTGGCGAGAGTTGCGTTCTGGTGCGACAAGCCGCGAAGGACGCGCAGTTGAACGGCACGGGTGTTAAAGGCGTGCACGCCGAGAACCCTGCTGTGTCTGCCAGAGTCCTGGAGCAGCGAAACCCCGAGACCCAGGGATTGAACAGCCCCAGCACGGAGTAGTAGGGACTAGGGTGGAGCCCAGATAGTCCAACTCCATCACGTGAGGTACCCGACATCGACGGCAGCGGTCGAGCGGGAGCACAGGAGAGGGATTCAACCCAGGAGGCGACATCGAGGGAAGTGTACCAGAGAGCGTCGAGAGCAGCATACCAAGGCGACATTGTATTAGTAGTTCGGATTTGAAGAAAGAATAAACGAGCCTAAATCCGAGAGATTAACGTTGTCTTCTTATTCACTGGTGGGGCAATCACAACATATAAATTTGGTGGGACGAACGTACAACCATTACTGAGCTAGCCGCACAATCAAGTAGCGGGCATAAAAGCAACAAAAACAGTTCGTTACAATGTCATTCCACATCAGTGTGTCCTTAGGCCCCAGAGTACGTCTACAAAGTTGCGAGTCGTATTTGACGCCTCTTGTAAAACGTCGTCTCAAATGATACCCTAAATGATATCTTGATGGTAGGTCCAACTATCCAAGATGAGTTATACTCCAGACTGCTCCGCTTCCGGCTGCACAGGTTTGCTCTGACAGCCGATGTTAAAAAAATGTATCGCCAAGTAATGGTAAATGAAGCAGATAGGCCGATTCAACTCATAGTGTGGAGAAGAGACCCCTCAGAATCCTTGAGATTGTACCAGCTCAACACCGTAACATATGGAACTGGCCCAGCTCCATATCTAGCGATTCGGTGTTTAAAAAGGTTGAGTGAATCTGCCAAACTTTCATTCCCTAGAGCTGCTGAAGTTATTGGATCCGAATTTTACGTCGATGATATGCTAACTGGTGCTGCATGCGTCGAGGAGCTCAGATCTATCAGGTCTGAAGTGTCTCATGTTCTTCAAACCACCGGGTTTGAATTGACAAAGTGGTTTTCAAACTCACCTGAGATCACCGCATCTGAGAGCACAGTTAAATCCATACCGATCTCGGATTCAGAGTCGACGAAGGCGTTAGAAATATTGTGGTTGCCTAACAAAGATTCTTTCAAATTTGAAATCGATAATTCCGTCATGGGTCTCAGAGCGACAAAGCGGAACATATTATCAGTGACATCGATGCTGTTCGACCCCCTCGGCTTGCTTAATCCTATCGTTATCAGAGGAAAAATCCTATTGCAGGAACTCTGGCTGAACAAGTTGGATTGGGATGAGTCGATTCCTGTGCATTTGGAAACTGCGTGGAATAAATTAAAAAATACATTGTCTCGTTTGGAAGAGATATCAATTCCGCGGTATGTGCACACCGATTCGATGTCATCGGTTCAATTGCATGCCTTTGCCGACGCATCCATGAGAGCTTATGGAGCTTGCGTCTATATTCGTAGCAAAACTGAAGAAGGTTTTAAACTGTCATTACTGACTTCAAAATCTAAAGTAGCGCCACTCAAGACTAAAACGCTCCCAAGGCTTGAGTTATGTGCCGCTCACCTTCTCGCAGATCTCTGTCACAGAATCAAACCCCTATTAAAGGTCCCTATCGAACGAATAGTATATTGGTCAGACTCGGAAGTCACGTTGCATTGGATTCGATCCCATCCGTCTTCTTTGTCGATATTCGTCTCGAATAGGGTAGCTACATGGCGGCATGTCCCAACTAAACAGAACCCAGCAGATATCAAGAGGTTGTGACAAAGAGGAAATTAATAATTCAATCTGGTTTACTGAACCAGCCTTTTTGAAGAATGAAGAAGAGACCTGGCCCAAAAATGCACACTTCGTTCTTGATGAAAAGGTCCTAATTGAGGAATCAAGGAAGACTGTGGTAACGATGGCCGCCACGGTACGGAAGTCGGAACTGGTAGATGTCATCAAGGGATTTTCGTCACACCTCAAGCTGCTTAGAGTGTTCGTTTACATGTTTCGCTTTATAAGGAAATACAGAGACAAGAGTATAGTTTTTGAAAAAACTCTGTCACCGACTGAATACAACGAAGCCTTTTTAAAGATTGTCGAGACCATCCAGAAACACGAGTATCACGAAGTTCTAGAAGAAGTTCGGAAGAACTCCAGAGTTGGCCCAAGTCTTCAACGATTGAACCCATTCATTCATGAAGTCTCGGGTACTTGGTGTAATTTTTCGTTGGGGGGCGATTAGCAAATGCTCCTGTAATGACCTGTAAACAGCCCAATAAATACAAGCCAACTGCACGCAATTACTCAGATATTTACAAACAATATTTATTAGTTACTCGGTGCGACCCGCACTCTACAATAGGATATATCCAGACTGACTCAATGACAGCTAGAATGCTCTCCGCTCTCAGCAACGCTGGTAGTGACAGGTTGCCACATCCCTCCAACATTTTTCAGCTTCAGCTTCAAGTTCTGCCGCGCATCTGAAGGCTTCTCCACGGAGATATCGGGCATCGACGCTTGCGGTAACGGTGGTGGCTGTGTGCTAAGTGAGGCACCATTTCCTTGCTCGCTGCCATCCGACTGTAGAGAAGATTCGATGTCCAAATCAGAACCCCCTGAGATCTTTTTAACATGACTTATATTTCTCAAATACGTTTTACCTCCTCCCGATATCTTCACTACGCTTCCATCTATCTGAATTACCTCATAGACTGTTGTATCAAAAGTAGGAGTTAACTTGTTAGGAAAAATCACGTTCTTTAACACTACTTTATCTCCCAGTTGTATTTTAGATTCCGTGGCTCTCCTAGTTCTGTCTGCCGTCTCCTTTCCCTTTTCCTTGTTAATAAAATCCCTGTCTCTCTCTTCAGATTCTCCCACTTCTCCTACTATATCCTGAACTCCCGGAATCTTGTCTCTAATTATGCGGTTGAATATAAGCTCGGATGGTGGCGAGCCCGTAGTACCATGGGGAGTAACATTGTGCATTAATATAAATTTTTGAATCTCCTGCTTAAAGTTTTTATCATTTGCATAGGCTATTTTCAACCGCTTCACTAATGACCTATTCATATTTTCTACCTCGCCATTAGCTTGAGGCCAATATGGAGGAGTTGTAATAAGGTCAATTCTATTTGTCTCACAATATTTTTTAAACTCTACACTCACATATTGCCTGCCATTGTCTGTTCTTAACTTTTTTGGATACCCCAATCTACTAAAAATTTCGGACATTTCTTCAATAAGCACCTTCGATCCTATTGACTGTACAAATTTTACTTTGATGTATCTAGAATAGTAATCGATGAGGACCAGCAAGTGCTGATTATTTGGCAACGGTCCTAACAAATCTGTGGCTACCCAGACCCATGGGCTACTCGGAAATGCATGTCCCTCATGAGCTAGTGTTAAAACTCTCCGTCGCAGTTGTTGGGGGATGATCAGACGACTTCCTCTTCCTAGTAGAATACTACCAATACTCGACAGCTCCAGGCGAAACGGATAATATGGGCTAGTCGTTGCAGAATTCCAGCAGTCATTGGCCAGGCATGTTATGGCATCTAGTACTTCCTCGTCTCTTGTACTCATTTCGGAAATCTCGGATATATTTAAAGATGTGGGAGTAGAAATTGAAATCATATGGAATATGTTTTCCTCTCCAGTCCAATCAAATGATTTAGTTCCTGAAATGTCACATAAGCGTGAGATCGAGTCAGCAATATTTTCCTTCCCAGACTTATATATCACCCGGAAACGGTATGCCTGTAGACGTAATAACCACCTCTCAATTCTTGCTGGGGGCTTAGAAGTTGGTTTAAAAATCGTTTCCAATGGCTTATGGTCAGTTACCAACTCGAATTGCAGACCAGCAACATAGTAATGAAATTTTTCTACGCTCCATACCAATGCCAAACTTTCCTTTTCCGTTTGCGAATATCGTTTCTCAACATCAGAAAGGCTCTTACTTGCAAACGATATGATAAATGGATTATTTTCGACATCAAACGGTATTAAGACCGCTCCCAGCGCTACTGGACTGGCATCAGCTATTAAACGAGTTTTAAATTTAACGTTGAAATATGCTAACTCCGGAACTCGTGAAACTCCAATTTTTAATTTGTCGAACGCTTGCTGTTCTCGTTGATTCCACAAAAATTTTTCATCCGCTTTGAGTAATTTTTTCAACGGGTCTGTTATATCTGCCAGATCTGGCAAGAACCTTCCCACGTACGTGACAAGGCCTAAGAAGCTCCGAAGTTATTCCTTATTCTTTGGTGCCCTGAATGCCGTGATTACTTCTACTTTCTCTGGATCAGCAGAAATGACTGTGTCAGATAATATATGCCCGAGGAACTTAAGTCGCTGTGTTCTCCATACGCATTTTTCTTTGTTGAGCCATATATTGTTTTCCTTGCCTTGAAGATAACTTTTACCATCTTCACCATTTTGTCGTGTTCCTCCAATGAACTCCCGAAGACAATTACATCATCAATATAATTTAATGCATTCGGGCATTTCGCTAATCGTTCCTCCATCAGTTTTTGAAATATCTCAGGTGCTGAGTTAACACCGCAAAGTAGACGCTTGTATCTATACAGTCCTCGTGGTGTTATAAATGTAGTAATCTCTCTGCTACTTGGATGCAACTCGAGTTATTGATAAGCACTCTTCAAATCAAGTCGAGAAAAATACTTAGCGTCCTTAAGCTTCGTTAAAAACGACTCGAATGTTGGTAATGGGTAATTTTCCCTTTTAATTGCTTTATTAGCTTGACGCATATCAATGCACAGCCTTATATTTCCATCATCTTTGAATGCGATAACTATTGGAGAAATCCATTCACTCGGTCCATGTACTGGCTCAATTATATCTTGAGATAAGGCCGATTCTAGCTCTTCTTTTACCTTGTCCTCAATGGCGGCTGGGATGCGTCGCATTGGTTGCTTCACGGGTCTCACATGTGGATCAATTGACAGACGAATAGATACATTATTCCACTTTGGAAAAGGTTCCAACTTTTCGACTCTATTTATAGCTAGGCCCAGTCTTAAAACGTTGAGTTTTATTGCTGTTTCCCGACCAAGCAGCGATTGCCTACCCTTTTTTATTACATAAAAGGTTGCAATAGACTCAGCGTTCCCTCCAACTGCAATCGGTGCTTCAAACACACATGAAATCTGTAACAACTGATCCGCAGCATATGCCCGAAATTGATTTGTAGACTCAGTTCGCAGATTTAATATAGCTGCGCCTTTTTCTTGTAGATAGCTTGAATCATCTTGACTTAACAAGTTATACTTGGATCCGGAATCGATGACCATGGTAATTGGTAAACCACCAACTCGGCAAGAAATGACTTCGCCCATATCACAATCATTCGCAATTCGAAAACAGGGATTGTGAAATTGTTGACCGCCACTCACTGCTCGGACCGGTGCTTCATCTACATAGCGCCGCTTTGTATCTCCTCGATGATTTCCGCCTGATCTCTTCACAGTAGTTCGACATCTCTTAGCAAAGTGCCCGACTTTGGAACATCTGTCACATTTCGCATTTTTCGCTGGACAAAGCAAACTATTTGCATCATGATCATTTCGGCCACATCTGCCACACTCTACTTTGGTGTTGTTCCATTTAGCCGTGCGCGATACAATCTTATTGACCATAGAGCCTGAGCATCCATTTGATGCCGTTGATGCCATTGATTGCGTCTGCTTGCTTACTTGTTCCTCAATTAGACAAGTAGATATGACTCCATCCAAGGACTGTTCAGTTGACAGCAACTTTTTCTTCAGCTCAGCCGGTGCCCAAGAATCAATTATTTTATCCTTGATACAGATCTCTTCTATTTCTGTTTTGGAGGTACCAAAATTACACTTCCTCACCTGCTGACGCAATCGCATAAGAAATTCGGTGAAACATTCTCCATCATGCGGAGTCATGCCACGGTATAAATGTCGCTCAAATACCGAATTGCGTATTGGTGAAAAATATCCATTTAATTTTTCCACCAAAGGTGTGAAGACGTCGTTGCGCTCCTCCGGAATATAAGGCACCATTGCTCCTGGCAAGTTATAAACAATTGACTGAAGTTGTGAGCCTCCCAAATGTAGAAGCTTATTGCGCTTTTTAAGAGTCGAGCTGATCTCTTCACTGTCCGCATATATGTTAAATGCGCGCAACCAGACCTCCCATTCGGAACGCCAGAGTGATTTATCTATGCTATTGCATAAAAATGGCTTAAGTTCGGCCATAATTTTGTTTTAACTTTTCACTTGTACTTGCTTTACCAAATTTCTTCACTGTAACTTTGCTGACTCATCTTAAGAATGACCAGATATTATAAAAGCTGTGTTGACCGCTTTCTCTTTTCTTTTCTTAGTATTTTTCTAGGCTGTATCGAAACGGCCACAAATAGGCTACATTTAAGTGGCCACTCTTTTTCTTTTGTATATGTATATATGTATTTAGGCTAAATTTAAGTGGCCACTGTTTTTATTTTATATTTGTATATATATTCTCTTTTTTTTAATTTTTTTGTAGGCTGTATTAAAACTGCCACATTTAGGCTAAATTTAATTAGCCACAACTTCTTTCTTTCTCTCCTTTTTTTAAATTATTTTCGTAGGCTGTATCAAAACTGCTACATTTAAGTGGCCACACTCTTTTTTTTTATGTATGTATGTACCAAAATAACACACATACAGCCGAAATGAATTTAATTCTTTATCGGTCTTTTTTATTTTCTTGTTTTGTTTTTTTTTTTTGTCTCTCGTCGCCAATGTAATGACCTGTAAACAGCCCAATAAATACAAACCAACTGCACGCAATTACTCAGATATTTACAAACAATATTTATTAGTTACTCGGTGCGACCCGCACTCTACAATAGGATATATCCAGACTGACTCAATGACAGCTAGAATGCTCTCCGCTCTCAGCAACGCTGGTAGTGACAGGTTGCCACAGCTCCTATATTGTACGATGCCAAGTTTCCACTGCTGTTGACAAAATGCTCCCAATTTGTGCAGAGCTATGTCCGGCATCTTCATCTAACCAATTTTCATTTCGGGCCACGAGCACTTGTGAGTCTCCTTCGACAGCGTATTTGGATCGTAAACGCTCAGGAGGTCTGCAGTCAAATAGTTCGATCATGTATTCGCTGCTTCAAATGCAAGCCTCGACTAATGACACAAATTATGGGAAATTTACCCGCAGATCGGCTCCGTGCTCTCCGCCCAAGAAGCGGATGCGAGTTTGCGTTCACACCGCCTTGGGCTCTGCACATGGGCGGGCTTTGGGAGGCAGGTGTGAAGTCTGCCAAGAACCTACTCCTACGAGCGGTACGCAGCGCGCTTCTAACCGCAGAGGAACTGGAGACGGTGCTCGTCGGGATCGAGGCAGTGCTGAACTCCCGGTCGCTAGGAGCGTTAACCAACGACCCCAGCGACGGAGAAGCGCTAACGCCCGGGCACCGGCTGACAGGCGGGCCATTGTTTCCCATCCCAGCACTCTGGACCCCGGACAAGGCGGGTCTCAGTTGCTTGCGGCGATAGCAACTTGTCTCGTCAGCCAGGCAAATGTTTTGGCGGCGATGGTTCCAGGACTATGTGCTGGGCCTTTAAATTCGGGGCAAGTGGCACCAGGAGCAGCCCAACATCCAGGAAGGACAGCTCGTCGTCGTCGCCGATCGGGAAGATCATCGCAACGCACGCAGGAGAGGACGGCATGGTCAGGGTCGTCGAAGTGAGGACCAGCGGAGAAGGGATTTTTAAGCGGGCCATCCACAAATTGGCGCCGCTTCCAATATGTTGAAGCCGGATGGGCCTTCAACGGGGCCGGTGTTGGCTGAAGCCAGTTTTTTTGTTGTTATTTTTGAAGTTGAAGTATTGAATTGAAGTTGATGTCTCGCCTTCGCCGGGAGCGCAATAAAGCTTTCATTCGCTCTTTGCGAGTTCGCTCCGTTTTCGGCAACCTTCGGTAAGCTAGGCTTAAGTATGATTGTGGAGAAATAGATTATTCGTAAAAAATTGATTTGAGTCGAGCGCACGCATTTTTTCGTTTTCGTTTTTGCCAAATAAATAAATTAATTAGCCACCCCAGTTTTCGGTTTTTATATTTAGAAAAACTATTCTAAATTTCCACCAGGCATGACTATTGTTGATCAGATCTAGCCCCTGAGTTTGATGTCTCACGACGAGTGTCTTTTTCACCACCGTCACTTTTCTCAACTCATTAGCGATCTGCTCGTCCGGCAGCCTTCTCAAACTCTCGTGTGAGTACTTATATGTTCGCTTGCTACTCAACGATTTCAACAGGTATCGATCACCTTTCAACAACTCGACAATCACAAAAGGTCTTTTGAACTTAGGATCCAATTTGGTCTGATGCCGCTCTTCACTTATAAGCAAGACATGATCCCCAACCTTGTCTTTTACAATTTTGGCCTTATTCTTATCAACTCGATGCTTTTCATATTTCGCATTAATTTCAATATTTTCTTTGGCGTGAGCCCTCGCTGGCTTACAATCTATTTTAGTTTCTTCATTTATTGGCAATAGTCCCATTAGCCTGGCCTCTCTTCCAAT